ACAAATACTTGGGAACTTTAATAAACGAAACTGGAGACCAAAACAGTGAAATAAAAAGACGTATCGAAATTGCCAGGGCCACCTTTATAAAGATGAGAAAATTCTTCTGCAACAGAAATATAAGCATCCCTCTACGATTAAGAATGCTGAGAGGCTATGTATTTAACACGCTATTATACGGTGTAGAGGCCTGGACTCTCAAACAGAACAACATGAAAAATATTGAAAGTTTCGAGATGTGGTGCTACCGTCGAATGCTGAAGATTAGTTGGGTTGAAAGAATAACAAACTGTGAAGTAATACGAAGAATAGGAAAAGACCCAGAGATTTTGTTAACGCTAAAGCGAAGAAAACTCGAATATTTTGGTCACCTGATGAGAGGACATAAATACGCATTACTTCAAAATATAATGCAGGGAAAAATAGAAGGAAAACGGAATCCAGGCCGTAGAAGAATGTCATGGTTGCGGAATTTGAGAGAGTGGTTTGGCTGCACCACTAATGAACTCTTTAGGTCAGCCGTAAACAAGGTCAGAATAGCCTTGATGATTTCCAATCTCCGATAGGAGTGGCACAAAAAGAAGAAGAAACTACTATTTACTTTGTTTTGTGCATATTGAGATCCAGCCCATATTCTCGACTTATGTGCGACATTATTGTTGGTAAACCATCCTCTAGTTGTTCCAGTGTTTGCTCTAAGATACGCTGCGAGTACATGTTAAATAGCACTGGAGACAGAATGCATACTTGTGTCACTCCTCTATCTATGGAGATTGTCTCTGTCAACTGGTCATCCACTTTAATGTTGGTAGGTTGGTTGTAATATAAATTATATATAATTCACAAGTCTCTATCATCCAAGCCCGCTTCTTTCAAGATGGATATGAGCCTGATATGATAAAACAAATATATACATCACAGTTGACATCTCTACACCGCTGGATAAGCACTTGTATAGCGAATAGAGCTTTTCGGGTGCCTAAGATATCGCGAAATTCAAATTGTGTTCATGACATTGGTGTACGCTTTATTCATCCATGGTGATTTGGCAAGAGACAGAATGACACCCAATTTGGCAGATATAGCATCAGTAATATGGCCGTAATAAGACCCTTAACATGGAATGATGAACGTCAAAAAACTGGTTTTTTGGATGAGAATACTGCCACAAGAACAGTTCCTTGTTAGAATCAAGATGGACTCTGAAAGATACTACTTAATGTACATGATGGCGCATCGGCATTACGAAGACATTACAAAAGGTTCAAGAACGGTGCTATTGGGAAAACTACCAAGAAGATCTAAACAGACGGAGCCGATAATGCAAATAGTGTCGAAAATAGTTCAGTTGATAAAAAAACGACACCAATGTAACGGTACAGAACCAAATTCTAACAGCCATATTTTAACTCACCATTTTGAATTTAGAAACTTTGATGTCAGTTTTAGACACCTATGTTTTTGAGCGATTAGCTCATCATAATCTCATCTCATCATAAATCTAACTTTACAATATTATTATTGCTTTTGAAAACCTTACCGATTTTTTTAATAAATTTTGCAAGAAGAACAACACAGCTATGTTGATTTCATTTTCATCTATATTTTCCTGTAATTGTAATTAATCCAATTAACGAAAACCATTATTGATGATGCATTACGATTATTACGAATCTCACAGAGATAAATCAGTCTCGATCTGCAATAAACACAACAAGTTTGTAGAAAAACCCACTGTTTATTTATGTGACCTTTGGTAAGTCACAGTCTGTGGCCTAAATTTATTTGTAACACAAATAACAAATCTATATTTACAGTACTTACAAAGAATCATATCGCTTATGGTCCAGTAGCGGTTCATGATTATTTTCCGAGATAACAAGGATGAAATAATTGAAAAAAAAACAATGTTTCTTAACAAATGGATTAGCCGGATAAGAATGTCTCAAGGGAAACTTGACTCTAAATTTTGGGGTATTGTTTGACATCACAAAAGATGAAGAATTCACCAAATTTTAGCATAAAATATTGACACATAACCTCAAAATTCCATAAAACGTCAAAAATCGTTTTTTGGCCAAACTCGTTTAATTTTTTACCAAAATAAAATTTGTTTTTTTTTTTTAATTAAAGGTTTTTTTGTCCATCCATCCATCCATCCAATGGCACTACAGCCCAAGCCGGGCCTTGGCCTCCTTCATTAAACCTCTCCAAACATCTCTATTTACTGCTGTTCTTTTCCATGAACGCGTTTTTAGGAGATTTTTGGCATCCTCATCTACCTCGTCTTCCCATCTCTTTTTTGGTCTTCTAACAGGTCTTTTTCCTTGCATTCTTGCGTTTAGTAATTTTCTGGGGATTCTGTTCTCATGCATGCGGGCCACATGCCCTGCCCATCGTAATCTCTGCAGTCTAGTGTATTCTGCTAGTGTTCGTTCAGTGTATTGTTCGTATATTTCGTTATTATATCTAATTCGCCAGTTGTTATTGTCCTTTATTGGACCCAGTATTCTACGCAATATTTTTCTTTCGAACACGTCTAATGCATTGGTAGATTTCTGTGTTATAACCCATGTTTCACACCCATAACTTACTATGGGTCGGATTATTGTTTTATATACCCGGAGTTTTGTTTTCCGGTGTACGTCTCGCGATTTGAATATGTGGCCCATCGCGAAATAGGCTTTGTTTGCCAGCATAAGCCTTCTATTTATTTCCGGTTCTTCTTCATTATTTTCGACCAGATCCAAAGGTTTTTTTGTGCTTTACAAAAATACAAAAATTGTAGTTAGCGGGAAATTCAAATTGATATATATATATATATATATATATATATATATATATATATATATATATATATATATTATATATATATATATATATATATATATATATACTTTGGAGGATAACTTTCGGGAAAACTTTCGGGATTCTTAGCGTCGTTATACAAACTCTATTTATATATATATATATATATATATCTATTATATATATATATATATATATATATATATATATATATATATATATATATATCCAGTTTTTTAGGCGTTACGCCCGTCCGGTAGGGATCTATGGAGGAGTATCACCGAGCCGCAAGCCCTTATCTCTTGCCGTACTGCTCCACCATAGGCCGATCAGATCCCAGCATATCCTAGTCTAAGCCGCAGATTCATCTAGAATTTTAAACTGCTGCGTTAGACTTTTTGTTTTCTGTACACCGAGCTGGGGCTCGATCCCACATCCACTGAACCATTCGACAGTGAAGCGAATTCAGATTGATTTGATAGTTAAATTTTTCTCTGAAATCGTCATATTTATAGTGTTTCTTGTTTCTTATATTTTTCTTGTGATTTCTTTCGCTTTTTAAGCTTGTGATTTTAAGTTTCACTATTTATCATTTTCCATCACTATTTATCATATGTATCATTGTCCATATTTATTGGACTTTATGCTTTATCAGTTCAGATTTATCAACTGGTCTTATAAAGAATGAATTTGAGACGTTCTTCGAGATTTTCAGGGTTTGGAAGAGAAAATGTTTGAGCTGTGTTAGTTTTATTTCGAAGATTGTTTATTATGGACCTAGTTTCTCTTGCAACATTTTTAGAGCTATCCAGAAACGTACTGTTGTATTTTTATTAAATCTAATTTATTGCCTTTATTTATTATGAAAGGTTCTATTTATAACACTTACAAATGTATTAAAGTCTTTATTACTAATTTATTTCACAATATTTATTTATATTTATTTCTGAGTACAATTATATTTTCTGACTCAACTCGATATTCAAAACTAACTATTTTCAACAAAATTCCCTCTTTAAATATAAAATATGGAAAAGGATGGAAGGCAGACCGGTCTTTCAGCGGAGCGGTGAATGATCTCGAACGCCATGGAACCGGTTTTAGCTTAGGGGTTCCTTGGATATTGCCTACTAGAAAAATACTTATTATTAGAAAACATGTTTACAGTTTTGAGTCATATTTAACGTAACAGTATATTTTTTAGCCGTTTTGATAAGTTTTAGATAGGTTTCTCTGTACTTGGAGATATATTCAGTGACAAAGACATTGCTAGTAAATTTCTTGATGTACAGTAGCCGCATATTCTTGGCTTATATGCGGATACCTTTGGTAGTCCAGGGTTTGTGGTGTTTTGATTTAATTGTAATTAAAGGAAATGCCTTATTGAAAATACAAACAAGCTTATCTAAAAAATCACTGAAATTATAGTCCACGTTCACAGAGGGAAAGTGCAACCCAGAAGTCAAGCACACATTTTGGAATTTACGAAAATTCTGAGCAGAAAAAATTCTACCTGAACGTTGGGTTTTCGAGGATTGTTTGTTAAGAGTGTTAAACTTGGTATATACTGCTATATGGACAGAGAGCCCTGCATCAATAATTGTAGAGTATACGTCAAGGGGTGAGAAATCTGAGACAATATTATCAATTATGGTACATGTTGTTTTAGTAATTCTTGTAGAATTAACGTGCATTGTGAAACGATACGATACGAATATGTTGACCAAGGATAATTGGGTAGTAGCAACAGCGTAATTAATATTCAAGTCACCGCATAGAATTTATTCTGCAGCATTTAAAGAAACTGGATATACAGCAGGTGGAATAGATTCTCTCCGAGAAGTAGTTAAGTCAATGGGTTTTCGTTGGAATAAAAACTAAAACAAAGATATTGGACGTTGACTAAATTCTTCTATATTTGAATTTTAATGAGCACAAAGTTAGTGGAGCTATTTTCTCGCAAACAAGTCCACAAATACATCTGGGTTTAAAATAGTACAATGTTCATGTGGTTTGTAAGCTGTAGTATAAAATTGTTTCGTAAGCCACTGTCAACAGTTTTTTGTATAAATAATTTCACCGAAACTTACATTACAGTATTTTATTTAGTATTATTTTGCTGTTTTTCAACTAACAAAACTCGCCTTTTATTTTAAAAAAATGTATCAAATTAATCAATTTTGTTGACACAGGTTTCCGGCTATTTGAACTTGGTAGCAAACACCATGGACAACTTCACCCACGGTCTGTCATTGGGTGGCGCCTTCTTGGTATCCCTTAGACTAGGACTACTGACCACGTTCGCCATTTTAGTCCACGAAATCCCCCACGAAGTCGGAGACTTCGCCATCTTGCTCAAGTCCGGTTTCACGAGGTGGCACGCCGGCGTGTTCCAACTTTTGACCGCAGGTGGCGGTCTCATTGGCGCCATGGCGGCCATCTTGTTCAGCGGCGCACATACAGCTCTAGGTAAGATTTTTTTAAATACGTAACTCCAATAAAAGCAATCAAAAGTGGTTATAAACAGTAAACGGTTTAACATTTTCGGTGTGGCACTCTCTGTACGTTTACCTTTGAATAGTACGGGTATTCGTGGATACCTAGAGACCTAACAAAGTGATTGATTTTTTACATTCATCACAATCGGGACATATAGTCCCATTAGTGTTAAATGGTGAGATAAATGAATCCCATCAGTAAAGAAACAAACATATTCAAAATAAAAAAATACATTACACAAAAAACATTTCTTCTTATGAATGATGTGATAAAAAACAATTTTTGTGTAAAAATAGTCGTAGTTCGAGATTCTGATTTACTTTGTAAACATCGAAAGCACCTTCTCCTAGTAGGTATTTGTTGTATCAAATGGTTTCCAACGTAGATAATCTGCTTCTGTCGTTTTGATATTCTTCCAGAACTGCCACTTATTCGTCTTTTACATTTGATTTCGATCTTCCCAAGTCAATTAGCTGTTCTGCTAGTACCCACAGCAGATTCCAAAGTAAAAATTTTATATTATATTATTGTCTACTTCTTTTATGCAAATCCTTGTAAATAATCCACATCTAATCTATAAAAAACTTTTCTCCACCATTTGGCAGATTTTTGGTCCAGATCATATATGTGCTAACGGTTTTAATGGAGGAGATTTACTTTTCCCATAAAATTATTGTAAAAAATAATTTCTTCTGGACAAGTGAACTCAGCTTTTTCTCCAATTTTCAGCTTTCTGTTGGTAATTAAAACAGTTGTACTGTGACAAGGCTTCTCTTGTACCCAAGCCACTCCTAAACCCAAATTGAATATTGCTAATTCTGTCCTCTAACAGCGTGTAAATTCTGCTGTGTATTACTCGCAGGAAGATCTTCAAAACGTGACTCATCAGACTTATTGTCCGATAATCACCGCATGTCTTTGGACGATGTTTCTTAGACATTGTGACAAATGTCGACTTTAACCAATCAGTTGGTAGTATCCCAGTGTCATAAATTCTGTTAAAGACATTACACAGAGCTTTAATTCCATTTTCTCCCAAAAACTTTAGTATTTCAGGACTTACTTCATCGGGGCCAAGTGCTTTTCCATTTTTTGCCGTTTGTATTGAACGTGTAACCTCACTTTCTGTTATAGATGGACCTGGTATAGCAATCGGTGTATAGTATTCTACTTTCTCATCTTCAAATAATTCAGAAATGTAGTTTTCCCATTCATTTAACTGTTCATTGATGTCTAATATTCTGTGTCCGTTTCTGTCTTCTAAACTTTGGAATACTTGTTTCCGTTTGTTTCCAGCGACCTCTTTTAATTTCTTGATCAGATGAAATGTATCGTGTTTCTTTTCCTATTGTTCATTTTCATTACATTCTTTACTATGAAATTGTGTTTTCGCGTGTCTTATCTTCTGCCTGATTATTGCGTGGATTCTCTTGTATTCGTTTTTATCTTTATTTCTGACTTCTCTTCTTTGATCCATAGGTCTCAGTATTTCTTCTGTCATCCACCTTGTTTTTTTCTTGCTTTTAGCCCACTCAATTTTGTTGAACAGTCTTTAAGATGTCTTTAATTCTCGTCCAGTTTTCCTCAGTACTTTCCTCTTTGCTTGATGTTAACTTCATTTTGTGTTCTAATATACTAGTTATTTCTTGTTTTACAGTAGCATTTAACATTTTTTCAATAGTAACTGTTTGCTTATTCGTCCTTGCAACTCTTTTTAATCTGTCTTATTTTTCCTTCTAAAATATTGTGATCTGTTGGTACATCTGCGTCTGGATTTGTTTTTACTGCTAATACTGAATTTCTGTATCTCTTATTTATACATATGAAGTCTATTTGGTTACGAACAACTCGTTCAGGTGTATCTGCTGGTGATTTCCAGGTGTAAAGACGACGTTTTGGAAGTTTGAAATTTTGTTTGTTATTACTAATTGCTTTTCTACGCAAAAAAATGCCAACATATCTCTTGTTTCATTTCGTATTCCCAGACCATATTTTCCTATGATATCTTCCTGTTCACCTTCACCAATCTTTACATTAAAATCTCCCATGATAATATTGAGATCGTGTTTCTTTGTAGGTGCTAATACTTTTTCTAAATCATGATAGAATTTTTCAATTTCTTGTTCATAGTCTTGTGTAGGTGCATATTTGCATATGGATGCATATTATACCCATTTGTCTGGGTAAGAATTTCTTTTTTCGGACAAGAGTTTGTATTAGGATATTCCATTCTGCAGTCAATTCATTCCTTTCAGACTCATCTTCAGATATTTCCGAGTTATCAGAACTTTCTTCGTCCGAAGCATTTATGTTTACATCCACATGGTCAGGAGTATTCTCAGGTACTTCCATCAGAATCGTCACCAGGTACATAATCAGACTCTGAGGCAGCATAAGGTTCTTCCTCGGATTCATTTTCAGAAATATTTGAGAGGTTTTTAATTTCTTCTTGAAGCTTTTTTTGTGTTGGAAAACGTCTATGTACAGTTGCGGTCACGGACTAGTTTACAGGTTCACGTATCTAGGAGCCCATTTTTTAAATTTTTACTTCGTTTAAACGCACCTTTTACGTCAAAGTGACGTTGCCAGTGGTGTACTAGCTAGAATAGGTAGATTAAAATTAAAATATCAAAATATTTTACAAAATGAAAAATATAGAAAACAGTTTTTTGAATAAAATGGATTATGATCTTAATAACGAAAATAAAGAAGTCTTTTTTTTTAAATATGCATTTTATTTTAAATCTATTTTATATTAAATAACGATAAACAATGATAAATAATAATTAATATTTGGTGGAAGCCCCATTCTTGTCAATACAATTTTGCAGTCTTCTGTTCATAGATAGCACCAATCCCCTCATGTTATAGTTAACAAGCTCTTCCCATGCCTGCTCAATTGCTTCCCATAATTCAATTCTATTCCGTGGTCTAAGGTTTCTTTCATTTAGTTTCTTTGTTAACTCTGCCCACACATTTTCGACGGGGTTAAAGTCTGCACTACGGGAAGGCCACGGAAGAACATTAACATCAGTTTCTTCTAGCCATTCTCGAACAATTCTACTCGTATGCACCGGGCAATTGTCATGTTGGAAGATAAAGTCGTTGTTGGGGAATCTCTGGATCACCGATGGCAACATTGTGTGCTCAATAATATGTTTGTAATATAATCCTGTTAACTTCTCCTCTACATGATAACAAACGCCCGGGCCTTCGGCACTTATCCATCTCCATACGTTGACAGAGAATCCTCCACTATTTCTTAAATGATGCGTATACTGTTCATCATACCTATGATTTCTCGGCCTATAAACTCTTATTCGACCATTATTATACGACTGAAATACTTTTTCATCGGAAAATACAACCCTAGACCAAAAATTCTCATCGCGGTTTATAAATTCATTACAAAATTCAACTCGTCTCCTCTTGTGATCCTCAGTCAAAAAAGTTTTCCGTGCAGCTACACAATTTAGCAGTCCACTTGCTTTAATTCTTCGACGTGCAGTGCGAATACTGCCTGGAAACGCTGCCTCTTCTCTTGCCTTTTGAGCTGTGGCAAAAGGAGATTCTCTCAAATAATCTACTAACATCTCATCCTGTTGATCTGTGGAAATCTTCTGCCCTCCTGAACCGCCCAACCGTGCTATAGAGTGAAAATTATCCCATCTTTGTTTAATCTTCCATATGCACATATGACTCACGTTCAAATCAGCAGCAACTTGCCTTAGTGACCAACCTTAGTACCATAGTAAGTATGCAACCAAACAATACTAATGGGACACTAGAGTCCCGTTTAGAAATTATGGTAAAATCGATGAAAATAATATCAAAAATGAACAATTTATATCACTAACCTGTGTTAGCAACTAAATTATATATAATTGGTTAAAAAACAGAGCAGCCTTTACTAAAATTGTAATGTTTACGAGTTGTTGATGCACGTGTTTAGTTAACATCAATTTATAGGTTACAGACGTGATATGTAGGTTGCATACTATTAGGTAGTAGGTAATGAGTAAGGAATGTATAAAAATACGAATACTTTCAAATAACATGGGCTTTGGGGACAAACAGATGCCAGCAGATTTTTTGAAATCTGCTGGGACATATATGTCCACACAGTAAAGAAAGAGTTAAGACAATCGTGTTCTTAATACGGGTATGACCTTGATACCAAACAACTTACACTTCGATAACGAATATACATAGATCTCAGGAAGACTTTAAAATAATTTTAAATTTTCTTGTAAAAAATTTACAAACTTCACATTAATCTATTTATGATGATGAAACATATAAAAAACTAGTCAATAATAAGAAATCATTAAGAAATTTCCGTTTTATGTAGTAATACTAATTATTTCTTTTCTTTTTGTTTATAGAAGCAAGGAGCTCCTGGATATTACCATTTACAGCTGGCACATTCCTTCACATAGCTTTAGTAACCGTTCTTCCCGATTTACTCAAAGAGGAAGATCCGAAAGAATCATTCAAGCAACTGTTAGCGTTGATCTTGGGAATAACAGTCATGGCGTTCGTCACCAACGCTTTCGAGTGATGGCGATGACAAATAGTATCACAAATGTACTTGAAGCAATAGTTTATTTGAAATAATAAAAGAAATTTCCATAATTTAATTATTGGTTAGTATTAATAATTGCGGTTTTGGCACGTGTCAACTGTCATTTCTCAAAATGACGGCTGACAATAACTAAACTGTCATTTGTGAAAATGACAGTTGTATAAAGATATATCAATTGGTTATATAGAGTATAAAATTCATTTATACAATATTTACTTTCAAATAAACTCTTGCCATTGACCAATTAAATGTAATTTTGACAGTTTCTGTAAGGTTTGACTAAATGTAAATGTCAGAATTATGTATCATTGTTGATTTTGATACGAGCACATCAAACATATTGACATGCTCAATTGAAGATCGTTGTAACTGATATCTACAACCAAAAAAATTGAAATTGCTTCACAATTAATAAATTAGGTTATGTTTCCCAAAAATGCGTAAAATACTTGTCACTAGGATCAATATTTTTTTGTTTATATTAGTTTTTGTATAGATATGTCTCACCAGTACTTAAATATCTATCAAGGGTTATAGTTATCTTCCCACAGATACATAACCGAAGAACATCATCCACAAAAAGCACAAACTAGGCCAAAAAAGTTCCATGAAATGTGTCAATATCATTTTATTATCCATAACACTTTCATTTTTGCACTGTAATCTCAATAAGTCATCAAAAAACTTCCAATTTGTTTCCGAACTACAATTACTGTTACTGCCTACAAAAAGCAACTTTGTACCTTTATTTCAAAGTAGTGGGACTCGTCAGAACACATTTCAGTGTCACCTTACCTTACATAACGTATAATTTATCTGAATATCTGTCAATATTAGCTGCCAGTGTCTTTTTGTAAATTACAATTACTGTTTTACCTAAAAACATTTAAAAAACATGTATTATTCTTCTTTTGAGAAACTTCTTGAGGCATCTTTCCATCCCCAAACAGCTACATATGAAAGTATCTTGATTGGTAATAAAGTTGGGTATTTATTGCGGTAACTTTAGTCACTTGAGCTACTCATAAGCTATATTAAAGAATATCATAACCCAACTTTTTGTAAATGGTGCTATTTAACTACTTTTTTAATGATATCAGTTACAAAGGTATTCTGTGCTATGTATGATAAAAAAACGTATCGTTTTATGCTGTGTTGAAACCGTTGCCATATTCTATGATTCTCTAGTGATATGTAATTAAAAAATGTATATAAATATTTTATCAGTATTTTTAGGTAGAATGGATATTTGATATTTGAAGGAAATAAGTCTTAAATTGATAATATGTAGTTTTTTAAAATAAACATTCTGTTTTACGTCCTGTTTTATTTATTTCCCTGGTATACACCGATTTATATCCACAGTTGTTGTCAGGAATTAACAAATATCTTTAAACTATACCCTGGCCGCTTAAAACATGGAATCCAAGGTCGCATGATCGCTGAATGCAAGCATCGACAGTCGGTCAAAACTAGATCTTCTGAGAAACTGTTTACACCGTCATTATATTATTTATCTATGGTCATTATTAATTTGATTCGGCACTTTTAAAAGTGTCATTATAGAAGCTGTAGAGAAATGTAAAGAAATAGAAAGACTACAAGCCAAGCATGACAATTTTAATGTACACAAAAAGGTAAAAGAAATAACGGGTACTTTTAAAAAGCGAACACAAATGAAACTCATAGACACCAATGGAAAATTAATCATTGGCACCCAAGAGATGAAAGACAGATGGAGAATATATTTGGAGACACTTTTTCAAGACCAAAGAACGGATTATAGGCATCCATTTTCAGAGAGAATGACGGGCCCGGACATACTTAAATCCGAGGTAGAAGAAGCAATAAAACGGATGAAAAGCAGGAAAGCTGTAGGGCCTGATAATATCGAAGCTGAATTTTTAAAACTCTTGGAGGAAGAAGGAATAATTTGGATCACGGCTGTCTTCAATATAATTTACAATACAGGAATCATCCCTGATAAATGGCTAGAATCAGAATTCATAGCGATACCTAAAAAACAGGGGGAAAAAAAGTGCGAAGAATATCGAACAATCAGCCTAATGAGCCACATGTTGAAACTGTTTCTTAGAGTCATCCATGGAAGAATTTATAAGAAGTGCGAGGAACAAATATCGGACAGACAGTTCGGCTTCATTAACGCAGTGGGTACCAGAGAGGCACTTTTTGGAGTACAGGTACTGATTCAAAGATGCAGGGACGTTAACTGCGACGTATACGCGTGCTTGATCGACTACGAAAAGGCATTTGACAGAGTTCAACATCAAAATATGATAAACATTTTAAAAGAGGCAGACCTGGATGACAAAGACCTCAGAATAATTTCAGAACTCTACTGGAATCAGACCGCATACATGAAAATTAACGGAGAAGAAACAGATCACATAAAAATACTACGTGGAGTTAGACAGGGATGTATCCTATCGCCGTTGATATTTAATATGTACTCAGAGAAAATTTTTAACGAGGCTCTTTACGGAATAGACGAAGGCATCCTTCTAAATGGTGAAAGAGTAAACAATGTTAGATATGCCGACGACACCATGGTGATAGCAGATAGTTTAGAGGGACTTCAGAGGCTAATGGACAGAATAAACGAGTACAGTCAACAGTACGGACTAAACATGAATACCCACAAAACGAAACAAATGATTATCAGCAAGGAGAATATAAATGGGGCTCATATATACATTCATGGGACGCAGATAGAGCGAGTAAAACAGTATTGTTACCTGGGAACTATTATTAACGAACAGTGGAGCAATTTACAGGAAATAAAGTGCCGCATAGGAAAGGCAAGAACGGTCTTTAACAAAATGAGCGCCATCTTCAAAAGTCACAACATATCCCTTGATACAAAAATGAGACATTTGAGATGCTATGTTTTCTCTGTGTTGTTGTACGGGGCGGAGGCATGGACGCTTACAGACGCCACTATTAAAAAACTTGAAGCATTTGAGATGTGGCTTTATAGAAGAATGCTGAGAATATCATGGACAGCAAGGATCACGAACAAGGAAGTTCTAGGAAAAATGAAGAAGGAACCAGAGATTGTGTTTACGATCAAACGCATAAAATTGCAATATCTGGGACACGTTATGAGAAATCAGCACCGTTTCTCCCTGCTACAGTCTATATTGCAAGGTAAAGTCAAAGGTAAGCGAGGACCCGGTAGAAGGAGAATATCATGGCTGCGGAATTTAAGAACATGGTTTAAGAAAACCTCAACGGAGCTGTTTCGAGCCGCAGCGAGCAAGGTTATGATTGCCAATATGATTTCCAACATCCGAAACGGATAGGAACTAGAAGAAGAAGAATATATTTTTTAATCAACCATAGGTATTGTTTTTTAAACAATAAATCACAAAATTAAAATGTTGGAAATTCAAATATCAGAAACATAAATATGACCAAACGCAACATGTCATACACATTCTTGTACCTCGTGTGGCCTGAATCTAAGGGGTGGCCTGAAAAATGTATTATATTGTTACAAAATTTTGGAATACATTTAATTCGTAGAACAATTTTAACATTTGTTTTTAATACATATTTCAGTCCTCTACAATAAATGGTTTCTTATGACTTTTGATATAAAATAATTAGGGAGCAGGAATTCAACAATTCAGAATTTCTCATGGCCCGTTTGACGATTCACCACAATGTATAAGGTCATTAGTGGCCTAACATAAATTTTGAATATCTCAAAACGTATATCATGTATATAATTCAAACGGTTTACTAACAAGTATAATATGTACAGAATTGAATTAAACATTTAAGGAAATTAGATTTGTATCATTATTATAGTCATTTTAGTCAGTGGTAAAGACATGTCTGTTCTAAGCGTTAATGCTAGTTTAGAGTTCCAGAAAGCTAAGGACTGGTTTTCTATGAATAGGTTGGTTTTAAATCAAAATAAAACAGATCTTCTTTTGTTTAAGACAAATTATGCACATTCAGATATGCCAAACAGTATTATTGTAAATATTGACACTTTAAATATTAGCAGCAGTACCAAATTTTTAGGATTATATTGATAGTTTTTTATGTTGGGATAAACATGTTGACCAGTTATGTATGTCTTTGAGTAAAGTGATTTACAGCTTTAGAGTTCTAAAAAAATACATGAATAGTAACTCATTAAAAACAGTGTATCATGCTAATTTTGAAGCAAAATTTAGATATGGTCTAATAAATTTTGGCCACAGTAGGGACATAAATAATGTATTTCTGGTTCAGAAAAAAATAATCAGAGTTATGTTTGACTTAAAAAGTAGGGAATCATGTAGAGGGCATTTTAGGAGTAATAATATTTTAACAGTTTACGCTGTATTTATTCAAGAATGCTTACTGTTTCTATATAAAAATAAAATACTATTTAGGAACTTTGAGCCCAATAGTATAGTAAATACCAGGTTATATAATTATAAAATTCCAATACACAGGTTAAGTATAACAGAAAAAAACGCTCTTTATTGCTGCATCAAATTGTTTAATAAACTGCCTGAACCTATTAAAAGGGAGGAAAGATTAAGTGTGTATAAACATCAAATATTTAAATTACTGGTAGCTCTTGAGCCATATTCTGTGGAGGACTATTTGCATATGTAACGGTTAGGAATAAGTAAATAATATTTTCATTTGTGACACTGTTTTTTTTTTAAATAATTTTATGTTCACTGAATGTATATTATTTTCTAAAAATAAAGATATTGTTATGTTATGTTATTAATGGTGTTACATCCACACAGAATAATAACAATCAGAATGCCCACTCTGCTTGTCAAGATAAGTACCCGCAAACGGAATCAGCCATGTTTTAAACGAAACCAGTGCTGTTCAGTGAAATTTTATGTGATGTGCATAGGAAAACCAGGTTAACTTTATCGTACCAGGAGTATCCTGATGCCATCCAATATATAGCTTCGTCGTTTTTTCAAATTATAAACTGTTTTCCTTGTGTCGTGTTGTGTTAATGTATAATTTTTAATGTTTATGACATTCTCAATATATTGGTGGATAGCCCAAATTTGACGAAATACCCCTGAAGATGCGCTACGAGCGAAACTACTTGGGCAAGATTTAATTAATAAACTGTGCTTGATATCTGCCTTTTATTTGATTAAAAATTTTTTAAAGAGCGTTTAAAAAAATCTTAAACCTTTCTTTATATTGTAAAATTTTCTTCAACTGTTTAAAGTGCTTATTTTGACCTAATCAAAGTTTTTGTGGATCCTGGATTGCAAAATTATTATGCAAGAACTATTAAATCAGTCCTTACAACATTTAGCACAAGTCTCCGTCGTATTATAAAGTTTTTCTAGGTGGAATATGAAGTCTATAAAGTTATGTTTAAGAGATCAAAAAAATTTAAAGGAAAACTTTTTTGCACATTTTCCTAATTATTGCACATTCACAGTGTGTTGTAATTTTGGAAGGAAATCCTCTCCTGCATCCAACAGTTCAGTCTCTAGGAAGGTGAATATTCATTTAAAAAATAATTGCAACATTACTCATAAAAATTTATTAAAAATAAAGAAGCATGTATAATGCCTAATAAAACTTAACACTTAGTTACTACTAGTACTCAAATCACTGTTTTTTTTTCGATTCACTATCAGCTTTAACTGATTCATTTATATTTTGCTTATTTTTTGAAGACACCTCTTTGACTTCATCAGCTTTTCCACTTTTACTGCAATTGTTTACATCTTTTGTGGAAGAATTCTCACTCACACATTTTTCCTCTTTCTTTTTGGGAGTCCACTTCTCTTTAATTTTGTTGGGTTTGGTGGGAGAATTCTCACTCACACATTTTTCCTCTTTCTTTTTGGGAGTCCACTTCTCTTTAATTTTCTTGGGTTCTTCTTTTGGTGGAGTACTTCTAGTATCTTGTATTAGTGGTCTGTGATTTAAAGTCTGCAAAAACCTATCCAATGTCTTCCCTCCTATTCGGTTTTCTTCATTTCTATCGCCGCCCAATTCCAAATTGAACAGGTGAAGCAGTTTCAGTTTGAAGCTTGTATTTCTAACAGCCAAAACATATAAAAAAACTATTCCAAGGGTGAACAACAGCATCAGTGGAAACATCAAAATGTTCCAAGGAAATGGAAGCTTATCTAAAACATAATTTATGGTGAAACATTTAAAGAGAGCTAGATATAGAATAATATTTACAAAAACACAATTGTGATATTATTATTACTATATAACAAATAAATACAACCAAAAACTCATTTTGGTTGTATCACACACTGAATCATATTTTAAAGCAAGGTTGTGCTCTTCTGCAGCCTAAAATCAAACAAAATTAACACAAGGTAAATAATATGATACAAGTTGCAGAGGAGTGAGCTCCTATTATACCCAAAAAGCAGGAAATACTAATACTAATACTGTAGCATTTGCAAATGTATTGATTCCTTGGTATATATTGAAATCCCCTCGTATTTGTTTAAAAAAAAATCTAAGAATATTTTTAGTGTATTTCAGTTTCCTATCGTAAAAGTTAAAATACCCAAAAGTGTTTTCAATAATTTTATTTCCATCTTCTTCTTTAAGTTCTTTCTTATCGAAGGTTGGAAATCATCATGGCTATGCGGCCTCTGTTGATTGTCGCTCCAAAAAGTTCTGCACTACTGCATTTAAACAATTCCCTTAAGTTCTTAAGCCAGGATATTCTTCGTCTTCTCACATTTCGCTTTCCTCGGATTTTGCCCTGCATAATAAGTTGTAATAATGCGTATTTTTGCCCTCTCATTACATGTTCTAAGTACTCAAGTTTTCGTTGTTTGATAGTTAATATTATTTCTGCCTCATTTATGACGGACTTGTTTTAGTGTCTACGCTTCCAAGCCATACAGAAGAGTAGAGAACATGTAACATCGAAGCATTCTCAGGCTTAGTTCTAACCTTATATCCCGACAACAAAGAAACTTTTAAGTTTAATGAATGATGCACATGCTATTTCAATATGTGTCTTAATTTCTTTGGTTTGGTCTACATCTGATGTTATCCTGATCTATATCTGATGATATTTATTTGCATCGCTGGATGTTAATCTATTTGTTGTTTATGTCACAGACGCAAATTCCTTGATCAAAGAAACAGGATATTTTGTGTTTCCGTTCTCATTGTGACATTCTCTGGTCGCTGCTAGAGGCAGTTGATTTTAGCGTGGGTCCAAATTTTCCACCAAATTTGTAATGTCCTTTTGTTCTTATTATTATTTGAGGAATGGTATCGTTAGGTTCATCTGTAAAAATCTGAGAAAAGAATAACGGTAAACATTCTGAAGCTTCATTATTTGAAGAACATAAAGACCCGTCAGCTTTTTGAAGTAATGGTATAGTAGTAGAGGGTACTAAAGTAGAAGAATAGACAGCATATTTTTATATTTACCCCACAACTGTGCACCAAATTTCCCCATACCAGCACCCACAGATTCCAATGGTACTATTATGATGTATTTCAGTTGATTGAGACCAACATCTAAGGGTGTTACAATCTTCCTCTCACAATCTTTTTGGCCTAAAATTTAACACGTTATGTTAATTAAATATGCTCAATGTGAAGAGCACCATTTAAGTCTGCATTGCAAAATAATAAGGTAAAACTCTAAGAAGTCATTTGTTTTCTTAACTTAACTTTGATTCAATACACATTAAACATTTATCGTTAGACAACAGTCTTATAATACACCATATTAGTTATTTACCTTAATTTTTACAATGATGAATCAACTTTATACAAATAAAGATTATATGATCGATATTACTTACTTAAGGTAAATTTAAAATATTCTGACCAAGTCATTTTGGTTGTATCACACACTGAATCATATTTTAAAGCAAGGTTGTGCTCTTCTGCAGCCTAAAATCAAACAAAATCAACACAAGGTCAATAAAATATGATACAAACATACCTCATAAAGTTGATGATACCTCATCCCATAATCTACAATTAACATAACTGTCAAGAAATATGCAATAATAAACAAAAACCCATAGTTGCTTTTGAGGAAAACAAACAGTGCGATTACAGCTATAAATATGAATAGACCCATCAAAAACTTCGAATTAAATATTTCGGCCAAGTCTTCTCTTGAAATACATGTATTAAACTTAAACATACTATCCTGGTTTGACTTAGAAAATAAGGTGCTCAAGACTGTATCCAGTCTTCTCATATGTTCTTCACTTAGCTCTTTACTATTAACAAAAGTCTTCAAAAATTCATGTTCCTCGCTGTTTGACACATACTGATAAGAACCAGTATATTCATCAACACTGTTCTGCTCTAAACTACTACTTGAAAGTAAAAGACTAACAGTTCTCTTCAAGTACATAATTGCCATTGTTTCTTCTTTTAATGGAGCTTTATAGCACTCTTGATTTTTGTTTTTATCACCTTCACTAAACGAGGGTTTTAGAACTATTTCTTCATCAACATGCATTCTGTGACGGCCTGTATTCATAACCATTTCATGAGGATCGACTAGATTATCTTTATAAGCTTTTGTAGCTGTTCCAAACAGCAACATTACCAAAATATGTACAAATTCCATTTTTTTAAAGATAATAACCTAAAAAATGTCCCAAAATTTATATTGGTTTTAGTAGTTAGAAATAAATATTTTACCTAAGCGTATACAATAAATTGTTGTCTATAAATAATATATGTATAAAGTTACTAATGTTCAGTATATCATTCGGTAAAACCCTCATTTGAAATGTTATCCATATGTTATCTATGGATTTAAAAAAATTTTATGTTTGTTTTTTTTGTTTTGCCCATTATTTTGACATTTAGTTATGTCTAAATTTACGGTAACTGAACGTTATCTTTATTTTAATTATAATTTTTTTTTAATTATTAATAATTCTAAATTGTTGCTGCTATCTTTTTGATATCAAAAATTGATCATTTTTAGAATATTATTGTTTGGTTTTATTATTTTTCAATTTTGGAACATCAAAACTGAAAACGAATAGAAAGGAAGGGATCTATTTATAAATAAGACTAGAATCTTAGTACAGTCACAGAATAATAAACAATTGTTTATTATTCTGTGGTACAGTCAACAATATCATTTTAGATAATTTTTCGTAAATAAATGTTTGCCAAAATTACTTTCCCAGATCTTAAATTTTAGTCATAATTATTTATCGATCGTCGCGCCATCTACACGCCGAAGGTTGAGTTTTGTGTCCGAGTTTCCAGGATAATTATATTCCGGTGTTAAATTTTCTGCATTATCCTTACTCCGGCTAACCGGAATAATAAAAACATGAAAATATAAAAGCCTCAAAATGGCAGCATAGGTCGTCCGTGTTAGATGCAACGCACCAGAGACTTCAAAAATAATGCCGTTTGTGAGAAAAACTAAAAACTTTCGTGAATGAAAACTAGGTCTAAATCATTAGTGTTGTTGTGTTCATAGATATTTTTTAGTTTTTGTATTGTTGGTGTATTTCAAGGAGCAGGTGTCATTGCACTTTTGTGTGAAAGTACCTATAACTAGGATTTTAGTGCCTAGGTAAGTAAATATTTTTAAATTATCTAAACATGAGCATTGAAATTTTGTGACTATTTTGTTGTTTCTGTTCATACCTAACGTACATATCTTTTATGAATAATATTCGGTACTCTTAGATCTGTGGTATTTAATTTTCCTTGTTTGTTTATAGCTGGTTTAAATCTATTTGATGTTAGTATCATATCATTAAATTTCTTATAATCCCAGCCTAGGTCATCTCAAGTAAGATTCTTCATATATATGTAAAGGTACATGAATGAGGTATTTTCTTGCGTGAAATATTTTTATGTCATCAACAAACATTTTCTAATACAATGTTTTTAATAATAATAAATGGTACTCCGTAAAAATTATTATATTTATGTCATTTATAATGACAACAAAGACCAAGTACCATATAAATATTTTTAATTTTGAATGTATTCATTTGGAGGACTTCGAAAAAGGTGAATGAGTGTTTAGTGTTTGTTATATTGATAAAAATATACCTATCTATATTGAAAAACATGAAAAAGTATGAAATTTTAAAGAAGTAAGTTTTGAAAGAAAAGATTCTGGGATAAATAATTATAAAGGTCAAAACAAGGGACTACAATTGAACACAGAAACAGATTAAAGGAAGAAAAGGACCAAACAGGTAGAAAAAAACAGGATGTAGCGTAATAGAAAAGTACAAATTTATGGGTAATCTGGGGCCGGGAAGTGGACAGGGGTGAGTTTTTAAGGGTAAAAAACGGTTTATCATGATTTCCGTCAAAACTACAAGACCCATAAATTAAGCTAAATGGCAAATGTGTAGATAATAAAAAGATCTACATGTGTATTTAGACTTTTTTTACATAACCTCAAAATTTATGCGAAAAATTTAAATAACGGTGTTTTTGGTTTATTTTTATCTTTCACAATAAATTTTTTTCTCACGAAATTTTATGAAAATTTATTTTTTGATGTCTCAAACACACTGGAGTTTTTTCTTTACAATATTTATATTTTCCCTCATTTTGATTTAATATTGAAAAATCACTAATTTTCAATCACAAATTTTGACGTTAAAATATCTGCTTTTTTTTTAGTCGGCGTCTTTTCTTCATTGAAATCTCTACTTTCTGATGGTGTAAAAAATATACGGTTTATCGCGATTTTCGGCGAAACTACAAGTGCTATGGAAACAAGTTAAATAGAAAAGTTGTTGTTTGTTTGTGTTTAAATGACTGCGGACACTAAATCCATTCGCCAATCTTACAATTTGAGGTGTAGTGTGTGTGTGTGTAGAGTAATTGTCTTGATACTTAGCAAAGTCGACGTCATTGTCTTTGCTAAGAGACGCTAATTGTATCCGAACGTCTGCGGTCCCTCCGGTGTGTACCGATCACACAAGGATAGAAATTATTTTCATTTATTAATTTTTTTAATAAACGAAAATTTCCACCCAGGTGGGATTCGAACTCACGACCTTTAGGTTTAAAGGCAGGCGCTCTTACCACTGAGCCACAGAGGGGGTTAATAGAAAAGTTGTAGCTAACAAAAAGATCTACAACTTTTGTATTTACACTTTTTTCACATAACCTCAAAATTTTTGTGGAAAATTCAAGTTTTTCATTTTTTATTTTTCTTTAAAAAAAATTATTTTTTTTTACGAAATTTGGTGAAAATTTGCCTTAGTAGATATGTATCAAATACACTGTAATTTTTTGAAATTGAAAAATTTATTTTTTTACCTGATATTGATTTATTATCGAAAAAGCACCCTAATTTTCAATCGAAAATTCACGCGTTAAAATATCAGCTTTTTTAAAAAAGGTGGTGGGCTTTTTGTTCGTTGAAATCTCTACTTTCCGACAGTGTGAAACAAAATATACATTATTATGGGAAATGTTCACAAAAAATGAAGAATGATCATACTTGTGGAAGTTTGCAATGTCAATCTTTTCATGAATTATTGGCAGTAATTCTGTAAATTGTTACGAAGCGTATAAAGAAGGAGAAAAATCTTTACAAGCTATTGTGGGAATGAATTTTGGCAGTGTCAAATTTAAAAGAAAAACACATAGTGTTGTCTCTAAAAACCGTTCAATCTTCAGTTAAAGTAAACGGAGATATTATAGCAATCGATCCGGTATTGCTATTTCAACGAATATCTCTAATGATCGACAGTAAAAAAGATATGCAGACTTATTTAAAATATAAACTTGCACCTTTTTCATTGTCACTTTTTACCGAAAATGGTCTCAGGAAAAACGTTAAATCTCAGCTCTACGAATTATTTGTGAGTACAAATGGACCAACGCATTCTGACGGCATTGTGCATGTCGTCGACGGTGGATTTTTTACTGCAAAAAGTAATTTGGCATAAAAATGAAACGGTGGAAGAGAACATCAATGTATATTTGCGCTATGTCGAAAAACATTATGCAGCAGGCAGCCCTTTCGTTTTTGACGGCTATCCCGAAATTGAAGAATCAGTAACTGTGAAACCATCACCAGCAGCTCATTCAACTAAAAAAGGAGAACGTAGTGGTAGAAAAACCTCACGACAATATTCCAAAGTTTCATTATCAAAACTATACTAAAATACCATTTTTGTAGGAAAAATTTTTATCAAACGAGAAAAACAAAGACAAAATAATCAAAACGTTAATGGAACTATTACAGTCACAAGAATTTTTCTGTGAACAAGCAGAAGAAGATGCTGATGCTGATATAATTAAGACTTCGATAGAAATTGCCAGAGATACAAATAAAACTGTCATTGTTGTGGGTCAATATATTGATCTTTTGGTCCTTTTGATTCAATTAAATAATAATGACATTTATTTTCGTAAACCAGGTTCTGGAACTGTAAAAGATCAATTTTTCACGTCGAATAGTTTCATATATGAATCTTGCAAAAATATCATTGCGTTTCTGCATTGTTTTAGGTTGCGATACAACATCTGGATTTGCCGGGAAAGGAAAGAAAAGTATCGTAAATTGATTATTCGACGCTAAAAATTTGTCAAGTTTGGCTAATATTTTTTATGAAAAAGATGCAAATAAACAAGATATCGCAAAAAATGGATTACAATTAATCAAATCTATTTATAAGTGCAAAAATGATAAGCTAACGCTGAATCAATTACGATTTCATCAAATAATCTTTCGTATTGGCAAATCTCCCACCCACAGAAGGTGCAGCAGAACAACATCGTTACAGGGCATATTATCAGCTTCAAACATGACTGGGCAACGAACTGACAGCAACAGATTGGGGCTGGAAACAACATCAAAGAGGCATTATGCCCAAATTTACAGAAAAGGAATTGATCCCGGATATACTGCTCAAAACTATTTGCTACAGCTATGAAACTGGATCTAACAATTTAAAATGTGGTTGCCGAAAACATGGTTTGAAATGCACAAATTTATGTTCAAGTTGTCACGGCTCGGAAAAATGCTCTAATGTTTTTTTTTATTATTATTGAGTTAATGCCTCAACAACTAAGATCATTGGCATAACGAAGAAATTAATGATAATGATTCCGATGAAATTGTGGATGAGGAAGTAACGCAGACAGGAAACAATATTGGAGATGAAGACAGTGATGGTCTTTAAGATTTAGAAGATCTTCTAGAATCAGAAGTCAACAAAGGAATGCCATCAAAGAGGCAAAAATTAATGCCCTAAAAAATATTATGAGTGCCCTCTATACCCAAATGGGTATAGAGGGCACTATAGTTGAGGATATTGAGAGAAAACAGCTCATATGGTATGGACATGTGAGCCGAATGGGGGACGAAAGATTACCTAAAAAAACGATGATGTGGCAACCCCCAGAGAAGAGGAAACGAGGAAGACCACCACAGAGCTGGAACCTGGGAGTTAGGAAAGCGATTAGCGCTCGAAATCTGGACGAAGACCTAACTCAAGACCGAATACAGTGGCGGTTGGGAGTCGGACAACGTCGTAAGACGTTATAAAACCGAATGTATATATATAAAAATATTATGATAAATATATACATCATAAATATATATATATATATTGTAAGATTGGCAATGACAAAAATGTAATTAAACATTAATAAACCAGCTTGTTAATTGTTAAAACAAAATCGTATAGAAGTCACATTTTTTTGATGAAATTCCTTTTAAGTTCTATATTAAATATTTTTAACAGCTATTTTCATAGTCTTTTTGCATTCTTAATGTTTTGAGGATTTATAATTTTTTTG